TGCTCTTTGGTCGGGTTGTTGTCTCTTTGACGCATTCCCCATTTCCATTCTTAATTTTACTTCCTATGAGACAAGTGAGAGGACGAATGCACTGAAATTTGAAAAAAAGTATTCATGTTGATACACAAAAAATTTAGATGTACGGGAATAAACAAAAATTCCATACAACACAATAAAACCATATGACCATCAAAAATAAACCATATAAATTAAGGCGACAGTAGTTGACCGATAAATCTGCTAAAAAGAACAGTAAATCATACTGTCTAGAACATATAGAAAATTGTAAATATCTCCAAGATCTGCTTTTAACGCACAAATCATCCAAGGGAAAGATACTAAATTAAAAAGGCAACCAATGACAAGTTTCCGTACATTGTACAAACACCTTACCAGATAAATGTGTGATCAAACTCGGCAATAGTTTAAAAACTATTCTACTAAGCATGAAACTCACGAAGTCAGCTAGAATAGCAAATCAACAAACGAAACAAAATATTCCAAAAACACATTTAGTATTTTGGTGACTTCAATGTCTATATTGCATCATTAAATGTTTCTTTTAACTTATAAGCATAATAAAATATTCCTTTCAGGCATTAAAACAAATAAACATTTTTGTCTTAGTGATAGGCAAAGCAAAGTTTCTAAAGTTCAGTTAAAACTATAATATAATTCTTCAAAACTATTTCAAGGAAGAGCAGATTAGGAACTTTCCGAAGTTGAAGACTATCACTCTAAATAACACACACACACAAGCTTAACGATGTTTTGTTTTGTTCCTCAAACACACCAGTAAAAAAGTATTTCTGTGGATTTATATATCTCGTAGCTTTATACTATATTTAATGTTTATACACGTTTACAAGACAAGGCTTGTGTATACCAAGTCAGAACTACAGTTGTTTTCCATTCGTTCCGTTGGATGATAAAGTCTAACATTCGATTTTGTCAGTTTTTATGGACTTCCCCTTTTTGAAATTACTTTTGAATTCGGAAGTTTTGTTACTCTTTTATAAAAAAAGACATCTTAAATTATGCACCTGTATTAAACTGTTAAAGATCATAGAAACAAATTAAATGTAACCAAAACATATGTACCAACATGGCAATTTTCCCTTTTTATATAAAGAGTTTTGATTTAAACTGGACATCTGCATATTATAATGTGCTAATTATAGTTTATTTGTTACTTTTGACTCATTGTTTGTTCTTATTTCAGTTTTTGTCGAGCCTGCGACTTTTGACGCAGAAAGCTCGACATAGGGATAGTGATCCGGCGGCGGCGGCGGTGGGGGCGTTAGCTAACTTCTTAAAAGCTTTATATTTTCCAAGGTGGAAAAACTTGATGCTTCATACTTTGTATATCTATGCCTTATGTTATGAAGTTTCCGTCTGTCATATGTCCATTGTCCTTGACCTCATTTTCATGGTTCAGTGATTACTTGAAAAAAAGTTAAGATTTTTTGTAATGTTAATTCTCTCTTATTATGAGCAATAGGGTAACTATATTTAATATGTGCGTACCTTGCAAGGTCCTCATGCCCGTCAGATAGTTTTCATCTGACCTCGACCTCATTTCATGGATCAGTGAACACGGTTAAGTTTTCGTGGCCAAGTCCATATATCAGATACTATAAGCAATTGGTCTTCTATATTTGGTGTATGGAATATTTGTAAGGTGTACATGTCCAACTGGCAGGTGTCATCTTACCGTGACCTCATTTTCATAGTTCAGTGGTTAAAGTTAAGTTTTTGTGTTGTGGTCTTTTTTTCTGATACTTTATGCAATAGGTCAACTATATTTGGTGTATGAAAATATTTTACAATGTACATGTCAGTCTGTCAGGTTTTATTTGACCTTGACCTCATTTTCACGGTTCATTGCTCAGTGTTCAGTTTTTGTGTTTTGGTCTGTTTTTCTTAAACTGTAACCATTAGGTCAACTATATTTGTTGTATGGAATGATTGTAAGGTGTATATGTCTGTTTGGCAGGTATCATCTGACCTTGACCTCATTTTCCTGGTTCATTGGTCAATGTTAAGTTTGTTTCTTATATACTATAAGCAAGAGGTCAACTATATTTAATGCATAGATTGATTGTAAGGTGTACATGTCTTGCATGGTTCATCTGACCTTGACCTTATTTTCATGGTTCATTTTTCAATGTTTAGTTTTCCTGTTTAAGTCTGTTTCTTAGAAACTATAAGCAATAGGTCAACTATATTTGGTGTATTGAATGATTGTAAGATGTACATGTATTTCAGGTTTGGGTTATCTGACCTTGACCTCATTTTCCTGGATCATGTTAAGTTTATGTGATACTTTTAGTAAAGCTTTATATTTAGGACTATCAGCATAAATTCAATGGTCAGTAAAGAAGGCGAGACATTTCAGCGTGTGCTCTCTTGTGCTGAAAACACAAGATAAATGATTCGATATTCAGGTAGTCGTTGTTTAACCATCAATAGTTACTTTTGTTTTCTGGTTCTTTCCTTACAAGACCTGCCGTTGCGCAGTTGATAAAGATAAAAATCATGGCGTTGCGCGGTTGATAAAGATAAAAATCATGGCGCATTATTCACATAGTATTCACAATCGCTCTATCTTACAGATCTGTGAAAATTGTGCAAAACCTATGATTTTCCGTCAACACGTATAAAAGGTATTTTTTAAAACTGCATATTTTTTTAATGATGGATTTTAAACAAACTGTCTAATCATGTATTTCTTAAAAATGAAAATAATCCTTTATTTAAAAATTACAATTCCGAAGGATCCGAAGTACTTTTCTGGATTTGCATTCATTAGGAACGATCAAAGCCAAAGATGCATAATACAAAAGACAAAGCAAAATTCAACCTTAAACTATCGACTTAACTATCAATCAAAAATAAACTATTCAAATTAGGGGACAAATAAGGTTAATCAAGGCCCTTATTGGTCTGTCATATTTGCTTTCTATGTATTGTTTTAACATAAATCTGACATTTGGTTTGTTCTACATTTTGTCATGTCTTTTATAACTTACTATATGGTCTGGGTTTTAATCATTGCTGAAGGCCGTACGATGAATTATGCATGTTATAGTTGCTTGCATCCACGTGCATTGATCTCTGGTTACATCAGCAGTTGTACCACATCTTCTTTTTGTATATTAACAAATTTTATTTAACTTACATTTCTACAGTATATATGTCAAAGTAATGCTTTGCGTGTACAAAAAGACTGTTTACTTGGCTAGTAAAACCCTCGAATACCTGCAGTGCACCAAATGTGCATGATTCATTTGTTATGATACGAAATAACAATATACAGAATTGAATTTGATGTAAATATACATGTTTAAAGAATACGCGAATAGTGCTCAAAATTACTTTCACATGAAGATATTCTTTTTTTTTCAATATTGCTAAAACGTAATGTAGGAAGAAGAATATGTGTGCATACCCTAGCCTGGTATCTGTAAAAGCAAAATATATACACTGTTATGCCAGTTTTAACTCGTATAAGGTCAACATTCTATAAAAGAAAAGATTTACCGATTATGACTGTACAATTTTGAATAAATAATATCGTTTAAACAATTAAAACCAGGTGTATATGGTCTCATTGCCATTCAGTCATTTCATAAAAATAAATGTATGAGACTCTTACTCATTATTTATGACAATTGATAATAGTTACAATTTATTATTGTCATTGTCAAGAAATTTACAGTTACATCTTATTTCTTGATTATCACGTTTACAGCTGGTAAAACACACATGGTCAGCAGTTAACTTTTGTATAAAAAGGGCTCAATTCAACAAGGAGCAGAAGACGTCGGATTCCTGTGACACTCACTTAAAACGCAAACGATGAAGACTTTTATCCTACTTCTTGCATTTGGTTTTGCAGGTAACTATCTTTTTTAGTAAGATTTATAGAAAATTGAAACACGAATATACCTTTGGTGATAATTTATTTATATACTCTATTGAAAAACTTTTATTAATACATTCTTATTCAAATAACATGTTCTTTTCGGTTTATTCAACACAACATTCTTTGCTAATGGTACTGACTGTTCGAGTTAGATTGAGGTTATTGTATATAAAACATGTTTCACCTTTCCGTTTCATCATCATAGCATATGTTAAAACGAGTTTGACAAATATAGAAGAAATTTACTTTTTTCGTGGAAAATTCAGTTTGAAAATATATGAAAAACAAAATGTATTCTGCGGTATTAAACATCCTGTAGGGTTCGGGTTAAATATATTAAGCAATGTTTTTTTTTACATTTTTCACGAAACCAATTAAAGTTTATAAGAAGGTACAATGCAAGAAATTAATTTGTTGTTCAGTCTTTAGTTGTAAATCAGCGTTTTGGGCGTATTTTATTTTTTGCCAAAGCGTTGTCAGTTTGTCAGTTTGTCAGTTTGTAAGTTTGTAAGTTTGTCAGTTTGTCAGTTTGTTATCCATATCCCTTTGGTATCCTCCGCCTCACTTTTATCTTATTCACATTTTACGAATTCAGTATAAACTTGACCTTCAATATTTTCATTGAGCTGTAGTAACAAATTATGCATTGTACCTATCATTATATATAAATAATATGACTATTTGATACAGGAAAGATTTGAATAAGAAAAAAGAGTTCGTCATGATTATATTTTTCCTACATTGCTTTTTTTTCAGTCTGCACCCAGAAAATAACACAATCTGGAAAGGAACTTATCAAAGAGATATTTCAGCATTCGGTAAGCTGTATAAAATGTAAAATCAGTTTATTCGATATTTGTTTTTAATTCAATAGTTTGTCTATAATAATGTTGTAAATTCAGAGGAATAATGTTTTTAGTATAGGCACAAACTATTGTAATTCAAAACTATTTGCTTCTAATGTTAAATCTGTCATTTGAAAACATTAAAAAAGAATAATTTGATACCCTGAGCACGTTTCTTCTACATACTACTCGTAAGTGGTGTTCCAATCAAATCAGTGAAGGCATAAATGAATGACGAAGTTGAAGAGCAAACGATCGTTTGCGCTTGACCTTTACCTCGAATTAGACTTCAGTTTAATTCCATTTAAATAAAGTTCGTTCGTGCTCAAGTTGTAATGTTAGTTAGTGCGATTTTATCTACATGTATAGAGAACAAGTTTCCAGATATTTAAATGATGTTTATATATCCTATATGAATAAATCAAGATATAAGGTACATGTCAGTAAAACAGAAACCAAACGACAACTACAAGAAAAAGAAATTTTATTTTTCCGAGGTGTCTAGGGGTCGCTGTTCTAATAGTTTTAGATTTTCATTTTAGAGTGAAGTAAAAGATGTTGATGGACTTACCAGTAAAATCGTCGGAGGGGGTAACGCCGCCATAAGTGAATACCCCTGGCAGGTGTCCTTACAGTTGAGAAGTAGTGGAAGTTGGTATCATATTTGTGGAGGTTCTATCATTAACAACAACTGGGTCGTTACAGCCGCTCACTGTGTTGATGGAAGTTCGTAAGTTTTCTTTCAATTGGTCGGTTTGTGTGGTAACCGATTTTGAGATTTAGACGGAAGGTTAAAAGAGGTTCTGTAAAACGATCAAATATTTAGAATTTGTCGAGTTCAATCCAAATTACAATTAAATATTAGAGGCAGAATAAAGAAAACAGTTATAACAAAAATACTGAACTCCAATTCAAATTAAAAAAAGTTGGAAGTCCATAAAAACTGACAAAAATGAGCGCTATCAATCAACGGAACAAGTGAAAAACAACTGTCATATCCTGACTTGGTATAGGCATTTTTCGGAAGAAAAAAAGGGGGGGGGAGGGTTAACCTGGTTTTATAGCTGGCTTAACCGCCTACTTTGCAGACTTTCCCTTTCAATTATATATTTTGTCATTGATCCGAGTTGTTATAAATTGTCCATCTGGATAATGACATGTTGATATGTTCCTGGTCTTCCCTCCCTGAAATCCCACTCCAAAAAATACAAACAAAACCAAACCAGTGTATATACCGATTACATTTTAATGTATTTGTTCCTAGTCTGTAGATATCTATATATGTATTTTTTAATGTGCTTTAAGCATGTTAAGGAATCTTAACATATATTTGATAGTCTCTGGAAATTAATGCCTTTCTGGTCTAGACTCAGATGAGTTTAGTGGTTTTACAAGCTGTGTATGCATGTTCTATTGGTAGCGATAGTACACTAACCTGAGGTTTATGTTAGTTATTTCTTTGGTTGCTTGTTTTCTGCATATAAAGCAGATTCTACATTTCTATGAACGATGCTTGCATATTATTGATATCATGCATACACGAATCTTCAAATAATATGTTAATATCTTCGGCAGCACTTACTGCTTAAATAGAAATCGCTACAAGAGAAATTCAATTTAATAAATCGTGAAACAAAGTTTTTATGGATTAAAGCTCGTGATTTCATATTATTTTTGTATTATTGTGGTATGTTATTTAGATTTAAGATTTTGAGTTACTTCATAAGTGCTGTGATTTTTATTTTCATTCTCTTGTTTATAGAACGAGTACCCTTCGGATTGCCGCTGGGATGACACAGTTGTCAGATACTTCAAGAACAGTAAGAACCTTAAGCCGTGTTATTATGGTAAGTTATTTTGTAACTATTGTAACGGAATTTTGTACCTGAAAAGTCATCAAAATATAATTTAATTCGCCAGAAACATGTTTTGTCGAAAAGCTAAGGCGCAGCAGTAGCACTAAACACAACTAAGTTGGAATTAAATATAAATTATGCTGTTGAAAACAATTAAAGAGTAACAAAAAAACTGTGGCTTGGGCAATCTATGCTTTGGGATGGATAAATTATATTTTTGAATGATTTCAACATTTTGCGAACAGGAAAAGAATTATGAAAAATGAAAAAAAAAAAAAGAATTATAAAATATGACAACATCAATTATATTACCGGGCTTGTGATACACTCAAAAACATTACGTCCAACAGAAGTATTATCGATCCGGTTGTTGTAATTACTCATCAAATATACAAGATGATACCAATACCAATTACTGTCTTATACGAATTTATTGATGGTTGAAAAGTAAGCAGTCATCATTTGCTTTGAATTTTATGTCCCGTCCTGAAATACTCGTACTTAAATATGTACAAAATGTTTGTTTTCGTGAGCAAATACTTTCAAATTCACGTAACCGATTTGATAACGTATGTGAAGTATTTGCGAATTGTGGATGATAATCATTAGAAACGTTGCGAAAACAACGCGTTACATTTCGATGTATGATTATCTGCCCTTTCTACTGTATTGTATGCCCTCAATGGTAGTAGTGCTAGACATCCCAATGATATTGCTCATTTAGAAATAATTATAGATATATAAACAGTTCATAAGGTTTTTAAAAATAAAATCAACGTAAGCAAAACACAAATGTAAGCAAAACACAATGTATAAAAAATATTTCAATCAACGTTTAACATATGGTTTTATATAGGCTATAACAAGCTTGTACATGACATCTCTAACAACAAAATTAGCCGAGAATACACATTAAATGACCGCAGACATTAATATCTACTTGCTAACTGTTACGAAATTTACGCCATCAAAGCTATTGTGGTAGGAGTGCTAAATATTGCAATGACATTACTCGTCACGATCAAAATAATTATCTTATTAAGTAATTCAATATATAATATAGTTATAACTAAACTATATGTAAGAAAAACCACACATATTGCAAGGCAGTTAAATGAAAGTTTTTTTTGGACAAAAGTGTCATTGGAAACACATTCATAAATGCAATGTGCAGAGATTTAAAAAAATTTAGTTTACATCTGTAATTTTAAATTCTAATAAAAATTACAGCATCCTAGCTATAGTGGTAGTGCTGCTGGATATCCGAATGACATTGCTCTGTTACAATTATCACAGTCTTTGTCATATGGTGAAAACATAGATGCAATAGTTGTTCCTTCAAATGTTGATTTTACTGGATCAAAATGCTTCCTTTCAGGATGGGGCCGATTAAGCGGAAGTATGTCATTTATTATTAATCAAGTAAAACGATTTTTTTATGTTTCGATCTTAAACTATGTTTAAATAATCTACATTTTTACATAATATTCATTGGTCGCCTCAAGGAAATTGGACTAAATGTAGTATCAGTTATATATATATATATCAAATCAAAAGGATAATACGATAGAACATGTATGGTAATCGTTCAAACCTTTAATAATTACATATATGTACACGTCCATTCTATCGGTGCAGATGTATATACATATATATATATATGTCTTCATCTAATCGTTTTGGCTGTATGATCTCTCATATATGTAGCTGGATGAAATCAGACATTGAGATAGCAAAAAGTAAAATAACAAAAATACACACCTCCATAGGAAATTCAAAACGGAAAGTCCTTTATAAAATGGCAATATTAAAAGCTCAAACACATCAAACGAATTGATAAAAACTGTCATATTCCTGACTTGGTACAGGCATGTCCATATGTGGTAAATGGCAGATTAAACCTGGTTTTATAGCTAGCTAAACCTCTCACTTGTATGACAGCCGCATAGAATTCCATTATTTAGACAAAAAATGTGTGAGCAAAACAAACAGACATAATAGATAAATATGTCAAAAATTGGGGTACAGCAGGCAACATTGTAATTGTTACTTTCCAACATTTTGGCAGAGTTGTCGAATAAGGGTGAAGGCAGATAAAACATGAATTTATTGCTTTAACAAGATAATTCATTCATCAGGTGGAAGCAGCCCAAATACTTTACAAGATGTCGAGATGACTGTTATCAGCAATTCGGAGTGTACAACGAGATGGTCATCCGTCAGTGGTGCTACTATCAACAGTGGCCACATTTGTATACATGAAACTGGTAAATCTGCCTGCAGTGTAAGTGTCTATAGTTAAAATAGTTCAATGCACCATATCTATGTTCTAAATTGTTCAAGCTGAAGCATAGCAGTGTACTCTAATGATTTCTTAATCTTAATTTATGGGGAATGCTGAGACAAAAATATTCCAATGCCAAACGATTTATAGATATATGCATGGAAGTAAAAGTAGTTAAGACAAGATCAGCTTAAATTGTGTAAGTTAATTAATAATAAACATCTTTTTTCAGAAAAAAGGTGTTGCACCAAATGTACAATCAGAATGATGAATTATTTATCTTGATGACATTCTTTCCCTAACATTTGAAACGAAATATAACAATTCCACTTACACAAAATCAGAACAAAAGAAATTAAACCAGCAAGTCTTTTTCGTAATATTTCAAATGAAACAACGACAAAAATCTAAACAAGTAAACGTAATCAATGATTTAGAAAAAAAGGAGGAAGTCTTTATAGAGAGCCCTTCTGAATTTCACATTTTCGTGTTCTGAAAAATATGTTTGTGTCTTGAACAATTGCTTTGTACTTTTAACGCTAGAAAGAAGCTAATAATACAGTTTTACATATGAAAATCAACAAATTTTAACAAGATGAATAATCAGTTATAATCACTTTCAATTAAGAAATATTTTTCCTACATGCAAAGTTCTGGTTCCCTGTCCTGATTTGGCTACAATTTAGGTCTTTTTCGGATCAATCATCTCTTCAACGTTAACTATTGAATTAGGCTTTTGGTTTTCAAATATTTCTTCCCTAATGAAATATTGATTAGTGAAATACGCATCTGGTACAGAAAAAATGTTACTGTTGATAATATTGTAAACTAAAAAAAACGCAAAAGGTGGAGTACATGAAGTCGTTAATAGACATGAAAATGATAGTTTGAAAAGTTAATCAAATCAAACTTATAACTTGAATGTTATAAACAATAATTTTAAGTGGATATTTTCTTGAGATCGAAATGAAAGGATTAACATTAATTTATATCAGAAGCATATGTCATGATCATATTATAGGAATATTGATTATCCATAAAATCCGACATGTATACATACGTATTGAATATATAAGATTAATAAGGTGATTAGCTATGGTTTTTTATTCATTATAGGGTGACAGTGGTGGCCCAATGACATGCTACTCCGGAAATACTCCATATCTTGCTGGTGCTACCTCATGGGGAATTAGCACATGCTCTGGAAGCTTTCCAAGCGTCTACGCCAGACTGACATCGTTCAGGTCATGGATCAGTACCTATGTCAGCATCTAATTTCAAGCGATAGATGCTTATTTGAACTAATTGATTGATGGAATAAAAACAATATCGCATTGAAATGGAGTTTGTTTTATTAGATTCCTTTTACCTTTAAACAGTCAATGTAGATTTCCAAATGCATTTGTACAAAAGATATTATTATACGCTTTGCCCGCAATTATTATAAAGATATAAGTGAAAGACAAGTAAGGATTACCTAATACAAGTATATAATTTGTAATTGAAAGTCACAAAAGGTCACCAGTCGTGAATACTTTAACACAGAGCAAAACAATATGTTGTATTCACCTGTTTCTGATTGAAACGTTGATTTTTTAAGTATTATATCATATTGATACGAACATGTGGTTATCATGCTTAAGTTTTCGGAAGTTTTTCCTGAAAGAATCGTTAATTCTGTTTTGTTATCCTCAATATGATTTAGAGTTGACATATTGAACCAACATCTAATATATAAATACTCTTTATAATATAGAATAGCTTCTAGAAGTCATTTGATTGAATTTTTGTGTTGCTGCTATCACGAAAGGTAGTAAAAAACTGCAAGCGAGTTATGAAATCAGATTAAACTTAAACCGAAATCACCCACTTCACATACCAGTCTTGTAATTTAAACAAAATGCAAATGCTTCTACCCAGTGTTTTAAGTGATCAAGTTATTACCTTAGCTGTATTTGAAAAAAAATAAAATCGAAATTTTGGTTCCTCAATACTCTTCAAACTCCTTCTTTATTTGGCCTTTCAACTTTTTTTAATCGAGCGTCACTGATGAGTCTTTTATAGACGAAACGTGCGTTTGGAGTACGAATTCTAACTCTGTTATCTATGCTTAGTTTATTTACAACCACTAGGTAGATGCCACTGCTGGTGGAGGTTTCCTACCTGAGGATATAAGCAGCCTAGTAGTTAGCACTTCTGTGTTGACATGAATTATCATTGAAATGGTCATAATAATAAAGTAACTGTTTACAAAACTTTGAATTTTTTAAGTACTTAGGATTTTCTAACCGAGGAATAGATTACATCATCTGTATTTGACAAAATCTTTCAGAGATTTGGTTCCTCAATGCTCTTCAATCTCGTACTTTATGAGGCCTGTTATTTTCTTTTATATCAGCGTCACTGATAAGTTTTGTATAGACGAAACGTGCGTCTGGCGTACAAAATTCGAATCCTCCTATTTATGATGAGTTTATTCAGGATTTTTATTTTCAATTTTCATTCAGCAATATAACAGTGTATCGTTTATTGCGTCATGTTGTTAGCCAAATATCTATTTAGGGTCAAGTGTCTACAGTATTGCATTAGTTTGTAACAGTTAAACATGTCCAGCTGATAGCTCTTTTTATCTTTCTGTTAAGATCTAAAAGCCTCTGATTAGCCTTGGATAAACAAAATACGTGTCTGGCGTACAAAGTATCATATATTGTGATGGCCATATTTTTTTGTTCTTGTAGAAATAGACTAACTTGGGTTAAATCTTTGAGAGCCCCTCTCTAGGTAACCATTGTTTGTATTGTTTTGATTGCTATGGACAATAGAAAGACACAAGACATCAACACAACAATAACAATAGGTGATTTAAATGGTGTTACTTGTACTTAGTAGACAGTATCTGATGGAAAAAAATCCAATACAATTCCAAAACAGATTTTATCTCTCTGAAACACAAAATGCATTTAACTAATATATATTTAGTGGATAAAGGCCTTAAAACGTTTCCAACTGAACAGGCTTGTCTGTATTCAGAGTTGTTGTTTATGTGCAAACACAGCCATTTTTGTTAAATCATCTAGTGACCATTGTTAATACTGATTTTACCTCATGCGCTGAGGTATTTAGAAATGATTTGTCAGAAAGCGGTTTTGGGGATTAAAAAAAATCTATATGATCATATCAGTTTAACAGATATTTATTATAAACTGTTTAATCGTTTAAAGAGTGCAATGTATAAATAAAAAAAATGCAGTGTACATTCGATCAGTGGTAACACTCACGAGGGATTGCCAATATGTTATATATAAAGTATAGTACGACTATAAATATTGTATTTAACATTGTTTAACTTGTCCTTACGTTATAACATGGCACAAGGAGATATGAATATGTCGAGATTTTGTAAGCCCATCGTTTTTGAAATGAAAATGAGAACAATGCAAAAAAAGAACCCACGTCACGAAATTTTCATATGATGTATATTTTTTATCATCTTAATTATGCATTTTGTGTGTTTTAGTGGTTCAAATCAAATTATCCTACAGTCTATGTTTGAAATAACAATGATAATGATAACTTAAAAAAACCAAAGGTGGTACGTAGGAATTTCTAAAACATTTATACACATTTCCAGACATTATGTAATATGTACAATTCATTTCCCGATCATAACAAAACACATCGTAAACATTCATATTTCAATCTTTTAATCTCTTATATATTTAAAAAATTATTGAGATTGCGAGAAAATGATACTTTCTCAGCAATGATCCTACATCACGTAAGCTAACTGGGCATTGCAAAGAAAAACAAAAATAACAAGTCCTTTTTTACGATTTGTTGACCAAATGATTTGTGATACATAAATATTTTATTAAAATATGATGCTATGTACCACTTGTCATGTTAATATTATATATGACACACTAGTTAAATTCTTCCTTATCATTGAATGTTTTTATACCATTTCCTGTGATTATCAATTGATGTTGTATGGCTAAAACGATTATGAATATTATGTTTCTGGCTAATATGTTAATTGTGCTAAGTAAAATCCAGTTTTCTTTGCAACTTAGTGGTGGAGTTTGTAAAAGTAAGGACAAAGGGTATGTAAACTGTTCTATAAATAGACCTTACTCAAAAGTCTAGCATTTGTCACACACTAGATAGAATTGAATAGTTTGAAGGAAAAATAAAAATTCACAATTCAAGTTGAAGTCCTGATACTGATTAATTGAAACATACATCGATTCCTTAGTAAAGGTGTTTTAATGGAATTATATAATTATATTCCTAATAACAATCGCATTGATACATATATAAGTATTTTCGCAAATAGAAAACGATATGGCGTTGTGTCCTATTAGGTTGACAGTAGTTGACGTATGTTCAAATCTCGTTAATATGTTAGAAAGAGACAAACCAAGATAACAAACATAAACTTAGGGAATCGCCTCTACTCGAAACAAGAAAGATACCTGGTGTGTCGACAGAGTAAGCGTATCCATGAGGATTTGCAGTGGTTAAATTACAGATAAGACTACTTTACTAGTATCCAAAGAACTAAGGGCACAACAACATGTCGCTTGGTGGTTGAGACACCGACCCAACACATCGGTCAACCCATTTGTGATGATGAAAGTAAAACTTATGTAGTGTCGATTTCGTTCGTTCATTTTTATAACTTGGTTGGATTAGCTTTTGTGATGGAGTAAACAGCTTAACATTATAACTCCTCTCAAAATGCAAAGAACATTTCGGTGTAAAAAATTCAGATACACTAAACAGCAAATGCTTGGAAAAATTTTAAAGAGACGTTTTCTACAATCGCAAGCAACTTATTGAATGATTATTTATTATATTTAGTACGTTTAGTTAAATACTACAAACTCAACCAAAAATTGCTAGTACATTTCTGTCTTGCTTGAAAAAAATTGATTCCATTTTGCTTGCAAACCATGAATTGACTTAAGTCTTGAGTAATTGCGCAGATGGTCCGAGTACACAGTTATTTCGTAGTGCATTTCTTTTAGACAATAAATGAAAATTAAAAAAATCCCACCTGCGCTTTCTCAATAATATTTTTACAGTGTGTTGTACTACTTTTGGGACAAATTATATCAAAATTATAGAAAACTTCATCGGCTCTAACTCAAAATATGGACAATTTCATGTTAAGGGGGTCTTCAAATCTTTTGACAGCTTCCGAAGTGCTAATTTTTAACATTTTTCAGCTGGACCAAATCACTACTTTACTTTAAAATTCATGACCCAAATTTTTTTACAGTGTCATTTCACCCCCCTACTTACTATTTGAGTCATAAAACATGGAGAAATAAATTTGGAAGGGGTATAAAAAAAATCGACAAGTAACACACTGTCCACACTAAGGACTATATTCGTGGACAACGAAAATCAAAGGACGATAACTGTGTACCCGGACCTAATAGGGTAGAAAAAGTTGAACAATCTTAATGAAACTTGATATGACCAAAGCTTAATAAATTATAAGACTGCTTACAAAGTTTCATGGCAATAGGATTTATATTATAAACAATATGACTAATTCTATATTCAACTTTGCGTGTTAAATTTAGACGTTAAAATTGAAAATTTTCAACTATCAACATTTGGGGCTTAAAAAATTAAAATATTGCAAAAATATACTTTTGAAATGCCTTAATATATAATATATTATGTATTAAAAGCAATAGAGTACTCATTTGATTTATCAGACTTATCATAATTATTAAAAAGTCAAATTTATATGAGCCTGTGGCTAAAAATGGAGGTTTTCCAATGAAGGGGGGGGCTTACATGAAGATGTAATATTTTCCAGCAATTTTAAATTTGTAAAGCTTTTTGGTTATAAATAATCCTTACATATGTATTTAATGTACTTTAAATGGAAAGAAAACTTACAAATAACATATCACATTAGTTTAAAAGGGTCTTAGGCCAAGTAAGACTGAAAATAATTTAGGGTCAATTTAAGCCGTATCACATATTTACATTTAAAAATGCATATTGAAGCTATAGGAAATAAAATTTTGTGTCTTTTCTATCATTTCTATACTCAGGTGACATGATACAATAAATCTGAGCACAAAAAGACTCTTGCATTCAACTTTATTTGCAGACAGTATGGTCTGATACAAAGATTTTTCACTTTTTAGTGAAAAACATGCATGCAATTTTAGTCTCAACAGGCTTATATTTGAACCACTTGCTAACCTACAGAAGAAAAGAAAGATATTATGTGACATAAAACAGGTACAAAAGACATTGTTAAGTGCTTTTTATACAAATTTAGTGAGGTCTTTATAATGGACTTCAACTTTTATGTTCCAAGCTCCTCACATTTAACTTGATCCAAACAGGGCGTTAGACGAGGATCATATATACAACACATTTTGCACATATTGTCCGAGATAATCTTCTTTTCTGTAGATTCAGAGTTCACAAATGAGTAATACAACTGGATTGAAGCATAGAAACACAAATATTGACACATAAAAACCTGTCAGATAGAAAGTCAGAATGCCACTTATGCATCAAAATTGAAAAAGCTATGAAATGCTTATTTTGACCATAAAATGCCAAAATTGGTCATTTTTGCAGAAATTCTATCAAATAAAAGTTTAAATCCTTTAGTTTTATGCTATTTGATAAATTGACACCATCAAATCATTCAGGGAAGTTGCCAAAGTACAGATTCTATATTTCCTGATTTCACCTCTTAGGTCCGAGTACACAGTTATTTCGTAGTGCATTTCTTTTAGACAATAAATGAAAATTAAAAAAATCCCACTTGCGCTTTCTCAATAATATTTTTACAGTGTGTTGTACTACTTTTGGGACAAATTATATCAAAATTATAGAAAACTTCATCGGCTCTAACTCAAAATATGGACAATTTCATGTTAAGGGGGTCTTCAAATCTTTTGACAGCTTCCGAAGTGCTAATTTTTAACATTTTTCAGCTGGACCAAATCACTGCTTTACTTTAAAATTCATGACCCAAATTTTTTTACAGTGTCATTTCACCCCCTACTTACTATTTGAGTCATAAAACATGGAGAAATAAATTTGGAAGGGGTATAAAAAAAATCGACAAGTAACACACTGTCCACACTAGGGACTATATTCGTGGACAACGAAAATCAAAGGACGATAACTGTGTACCCGGACCAGATGCTCAGAATGTTAAGTAAATAAAAACATACAGCAGAAAATATGAAACTAAGGAATCCATAAACGAAATTACCGATTTCCGTTACTGTTTTGTCCGGCTTAATGCCTAATATAAAGGAAAGGAAAGCAGATCCTGCTCCACATGTGAATCCCGTCGTTACTGTTATTAAATAAGTTGATAAGTTGTATCAAGTGATTAGGCATCACTCAATACCGGATTTGTAATAGATTCTAATCTTCCCCTGAGACATCACCAAAAACTCTGAAATTTGACAGAATTTGTAAATTGAGACAAAGTTCAATACAAAGGATAGACGAGACTGGTACAAACATTGAAAAATTAAAAGGCACAAAGAACTACACTTATAAAAGAGAGAAAGAAGAGAGGCGAAAGATACCAATGGGACATCCAAACTCACAAGTCAAAAACAAACTGACAACACCATGGCTAAAAAAGAAAAAGACCAACAAACAAATAATAGTACACCAAACACAACATAGAAAACACGAATCCCACCAAAAACTAGGGGTGATCTCAGGTGCTCAGGAAGGGTAAGCAGATTCTGCTGCACATGTGGTACCCGTCGTGTTGCTCATGTTAGTACAAACCCGGTAATAAATCTAATTCGGTAGGTCATATTCGTGAAAAGGGGACGTGATTGTAGTTGCGACATTAGGAACATGTCCGCTATCATCTGTGAAACGGTATCATTTGTATAACTTAAGCAAGAGCAAATCCGTTATAAATGTATGCAAGCAAAGCTATTTAAGATTTATCTATACCTATGTTTGAGTATCAGAAATTTTTTTTATATCGTTGAAAACCAGATAACAATACCGACTGGACAAATAACCTCAACTGTAAGACAACATCATGATACAAAAGACTAATCGAAGTTCTTAACACAGACACTTTAGTAGGGAGCAACTGGACTATTCCCTTTCACCGAAATACATACATTGCACATAAAATGCGGAAAAGGGAAATTATCAATGGAGATCCGAGAGACAATCGTTTTATCCATACATCACGAGTGTGTCCCAAATATCAAGGCATAAAGATAAATAGATTAATGCTGACATGCTTAAACATAGATTCCATATAAGTACAGATTCTAGACTACATCTGAGGTTTATTCAAAACCAAACTTTTCAAAACTACTTGTATATGAGTCAACAGTCATTTAGTTTACAACAATCGAGTTGGTATTGTTTGCTTTTGAATTCTTAACTCCAAAATAAACATTGAACAGTTCAAAAATTCTATTCTATTTAGTTATAGATTGATTCAATTGATTTTTCATAGAACCGCTATTCACAGAAACCTTTGAAATTGAAACACTTATGCTGAAAGCAAATAAAAAAATTTGAAAAGATTATTAAGAATTGTGAGAAAAGACGTTTAACCATGATAGGCAAAATAACAGTTATCAAATCATTGATTATACCAAATATTTCTTTTTTAGCATCTGTTTTTTGTAAGCTGACAGGAACCACCTGTTTTATTTATCCCGATTCACAAGTAATAATTGTTGCATAAATGAATTAATAGTAAATACACAGCACTGATCGATAAGTGTGTCTATTTAATTATGGTCTTTCCCCTACATGAGGAAAGACCTAATTGTTTTTCTGATGTTTTTTTTTTTCCTTTTTTTCTCCTAACATATTGTTGACAATCAATCAATCAATTTGAGGGTGGGGTTGAGCTCTCAAAGTATTTTAGTAAAAACAACTTAATGCATCTATAATGAACCTTATTAAGCTGTTATATTTTACCATCATTATTAAAAAAGTAAAAGTAAAATTAAGATTCAATGACCAGGTTGATATCAATTTCAAGTGCTTATATATAAAATGCAAGTGCAGCACCTATGACAAATAATGCATTATTCAAAACTATTGTATTTTTAAAACCCTGCTTCTTCTTTTAAAATCTGATGAGGTCATGTGTAGATGTAAAAACCAAAATTAGAATATTTACCATTTACTTCATCATTTCTGTACTTGAGGGTTTATCAAAAATCTACACACTCAGTTTTTGTTTTAAACATCTGTTTTTAAGTAATATTATCTGTCCCCTAATCAGTAGTGGATGACAGATTTATATCTCTACTTAACCATTTTATAATTGAGAGAAGATATGAAATTTTCACTCTGAAGGGCTTAGATGCAAGACTGTGTTTATTTCATGATTGAAAATCATATATTATGATTTAATTTAGATGTAATGTAATATAATGATTACCAGAGAGTAATCCTGGATTTCTGATAAAAATTAAAGGCACCGTTCACTAGAATGCTGGACTAATGAAGTAAATTGTTAACAGCGTGCAATATATTGTTGAATAAAAAAAAAAGAAATTGAAACACTTAAAAAAAAAACTTGATATTTCTAGGAAAATCGATGGTTTATACCCCGACATACAACCAGAAATAAATTTGCTTTCTATGAAATGTATGAACTGTAAACAACTGTTATACGAGTTGAAGGTCGAACTAATTACCAAACCAGGTTTAACCTCCATTTACTTCGGAACATATCTTACCATGCAAGGAATATGGCAGTTTTGTTTTACTTGTTCCGTTGAATAATACCAGAGCACACATAGTAAATACTCAGAACATATATTTGAATTTAGAAAATTGTACAAATGATATTCTAATTAACATTTTATTTTACAGTGAAGATGTATGTTGTTATAACTATGAAAATATCAATGATGTCTGTACACGTAAGTGGTCATTATATAACATTTTTATCGAATTCTGACCAAAATTGTTATTGTTATACATTAGCCGCCGAGTTAATTCTTTTTTTATTATCAATGTCGGTTTAATTGTTTGAAATCTTTTATTGTCGATTTTGAATTGTCACGGAAAATGTTCTTGCTTGACCTGAATTTTGCTATTTAAAAGTAGAAGCATAACAGGACAATCACCCATATATGTTTGTGTGATATAATTTAATCATGGAATGCATTTCACTTTCCATTCTTTTGAGGCAATAGACGTATTGATTTTAAGGAGGGATCAACCAAAACTTACACACGCTGCAAGCAGATAGACATACTGATCTGAAGCATAATCAACATTTCAAAAAGGCTAGTACGACAGAATGAACACTTTAGAAGCATCTTAACAATTATGAACACTTAAACAAAGCGAGCAGATACTGTGTTAATTGACTGATAGACAACCGTCATTGTGTTTTTTCTAATGATTAAAATCATTTTGCCTTAATTTCAGAGTGCATAATTGGGACTGTTTCCCTACAGGACGGACTATGTTTTCCATGCAGAGAGAACAAGTACGGCTACAAATGCTTGAATGATTGCAAGTGCGATCACTCACAGAGGTAATAGTTATTAAAAATAACATTTTATATTTAACAAGTGAAATTAAGAACACTTCCATATGTGCATGATGTAATATAGGTATCATGGTTTACGTAAATGAGTCGTGATTTATACATGCACACCAATGAAACTTCATACCAAGGATACACAAAACCAAGAGGTCCAATCATGATTTAGAAAAATGTACAATATGTGAATTGATTCATCCATTTCCTCTTTGGTAGGAATTAAACGTTTTATCATGAAGTAAGAAATGTTTATCAAAGATAGGTAAGTCATAGGTTTCCTTAAGGTGCATAAACATGGTACATTAGTAAATTCTGATGAAAATAATGATGAATACTCGGATTGCATTTCATTTATTTTCTTTCATATTTAAATAAAAAATGATACATGTAGAGTTTATCATCTTTAAGTAGATACATTTTGTATAATTTAGTTTAATCTTACTCATAGCATTCAACATTTTTGTAGATCTTGTTTTGCACTGCTGATATCAATATAACGTTTTATATTTATGAGTAATAAATGAGGACATAACCTAAAGTAGTCCAATTTTAAAATATCTACCGATAAATATACAATATTTTTTTCTTCATAAAGGATGATACGTTTCTTGGGTTTTCATGTGAAGAGGTTTCTAAAAAAGATACAGAGGCTTTTGATCATTTGACACCAAACTTTACTCTTCTTATCATTTTAAGTAAAAGCTTCATGACGATATTCTACAGCTTTTGTTATGTAGGTAACGTCCTTTTGAAAGACGATTTTACCAACATAGCAAAGGTATTAACCTATCCACTTCAACATTGTTATTCAAACATCGACAATAATCGCTTTGCTTCTTTATACGGGGACGCTATACCCTGTAGACGCAACCGGCCTAGCTCCTTTTATAGTTCATGCGATTACCTAATTATATTTTGTTACCTTGATTTGTTGTAATAGATCTATGATATTCGAACATCAATAAACTATTGTTGCCTTAACTTAAAGTTAGACGAAATATTGCTTCTTACGGAATGAAAATTGTAACTCATTATCTCTGGTGACGTCTCATTTTTAAGTCGTTCTATTTGAATATTTCCGATTGTGAAATTTGAACTGAGAAAGCATTCGTAGCGTGTGTTTTTGGAGTCCATTCATTGCTTTTTGTTTTTATTAGTTAACTTGATTAGCCTTGAAAAATCCATGAAATTCATACGTCGATAAACTGTTGGTGACCAAATATACGTAAACTTTTCATCAATCAGTTATTTTACACTATGGTTAATCATAATAAAATTGAGAATGGAAATGGGGAATGTGTCAACGAATCAAAAACCCGACCATAGAGCAGACAACAGCCGAAGGCCACCAATGGGTCTTCAATGCAGCGAGAAACTCCCGCACCCGGAGGCGTCCTTCAGCTGGCCCCTAAACAAATATGTATACTAGTTCAGTGATAATGGAACGTCATACTAAACTCCAAATTATACACAAGAAACTAAAATTAAAAATGATACAAGACTAACAAAGGCCAGAGGCTCCTGACTTGGGACAGGCGCATAAATGCGACGGGGTTAAACATGTTTTTTGAGATCTCAACCCTCCCCCTATACCTCTAGCCAATGTAGAAAAAACAAACGTACAACAGTATGCACAGTAAAACTCAGTTTAAGAGAAGTCCGAGTCCGATGTCAGAATAGGAAACAAAAGAAAATAAACAAAATGACAATAATACATAAATAACAACAGACTACTAGTAGTTACTGACATGCCAGCTCCAGACCTCAATTAAACTGATTGAAAGATTATGTCTTCATCATATGAATATCAGGCACAATCCCTCCTGTTAGGGGTTTAGTATTATACCGTCATAGAATATATGAAAAGAACATAACCCGTGTCATGCCAACAACTGGTTTTAGAATAAATATGTTTAATTCCGATGCAAACACCCTATAAGTGAATCAATATTAAAGCCAAAATATACAATCTTTAATGACCTGACAACAGTATCGTAACTATATCCCTTCTTAATAAGTCTGTTTAAAGGTTTTGTTAGCTTTTGAGGTGAATACTGACATTTTTGTGCTTTGTAAAGAATATTACCATAAAAGATTGGATGTGAAATACCCGAACGTATAAGATGTCTGCATGTTGAGTTATATTTACGAATGATGTCCTTATACCGATGATAACATTTAGTAAATTTATGCCTGTTTTGTTAATTTGTTAACTGCTTGTAAAATTTCAGTAATGAAATATTTATCTTTAACCCGATTTAAAGAATATATGAAACTTGATTTCAATGTTTCAGCATAAAAATAATAGAAAAATCAAAGATTATGTTTGGAAGCTTGACTGTATTTCTATCCGGATATTACATCCTGATGTTGTTTCACAAAAGTCCAAAAATCTGAAAATACCAATTTTTGTCTTGATTTGCATGAACAATTACTCAACATTCTCAAAAAGTATGACTTATGTCTGAATTTTTCTTGACAAATTCTGACTTATTTTAAATTTGTAAGAAATTTACTCGACATATTCTCGACATTCTGAATACTGTCTTAAAATGTCTTGGCAAATTCTCGACATTGAAATATTGTCTTGAAATTTCTCGACAGGTTCTCGACATTCTTTTTTTTTCTCAGTATGGCTTGACATATTCTGAACATTTTGAATTGTGTCTTGAATTAACTTGACAATCCTGAGCTTTACAAATCATAACCAATATACATGAATAATTTTTGGGTTTATTTTATCTTTATAGAATATACTCTTATATCACGTTATAGTTATTACAACAAAAACAAAAATTGGGCGTAATTATTTTTTATCATAAAAAATATGGGTATGTAAATATTTTACAAATATAAGTATGCAATTATTAACAAATACAACAGTGAATATCAAATGTAATCCAATTTAAATGTGGGTTTGTAAATGATTATAAATGTTGATTTATGAATATTATAAATACGTGCTAAATGATTGAAATACATTATACTGCAGACATATTTCATTTTTCATGTATAATATTCAATGTTAACATGGTAAATAAACAAATAATGTACCAAAATGTTGTTTCTTCTAAGTTTATTTTAGCGGTAATAGAAATGTGTATAAAACAGCAAATGAAAGTGTTTGGACTGTCAGGAATGTGTCGATACACAATTCAGATGAAATTTATACTGTCGAGATAGTGTCGAGTCATATTAAGACATCTTTAGGACCATCAAGAATGTGTCAAGATATATTCAGACATTTTAAGACTGTCAAGAATGTATAGACATATTAGGACATCTTTATGAATTTCAAGAATATGTCAAGACTTATCGAGACAAATTTTAGACAGTCGAGAATTGATGGAGAATAATCAAGACACTTTTCAGACTGTCGAACTTTTTTTGAAAATGTTGATACTGTCAAGACATATGTCGAGTAAAATCAAGTAATGATACAGATAACCGAGAGCAATTTATAGAATCTAGGTAGTTATTTAAGACAATTTCAGACTTTGTCAAGAATATTTACAAAAATTTCAGACAAAAAGAGAATGTCGAGTAAAAATTAATGCAAATTCAGACAAAAATTGGTCTTTTCAGACTTTTGGACGTTTGGAGTGTTGGGAGACATTACAATCCGTTTGTGGGAGAGGCGAACAGCCGAGACATCCGGCACTCTACTTTTTTTTTCTCATTTTGTGATTAACACAAGTACATATCAGATCATATATATTTTTTTACACAACATATACATGTTGCTTTCATGATTACTCTATTTTATGGTGAGATAAGTAAATTTCAACAATATCTGATACATGTAAGACTGTAATTTTTGATCACATATGTGGTAAAATCGACACCTGATTATTTGCAAATACATCTCAGCAGCCTTGTTATATATTTGATCTTATTTGCTCGACCTTATCATTTATCATTATACTTATGGAAGTGACTTTTTCCAGCGACTCATTCTACCATTACTTACGTACTTTACCCGAGTGTTGTTTTAATAGCCAGTAAATTAAGATACGATCCATGTCAGCTTATCGATCCTTTGAAATTATTGATACTAAAAGGTTATCGTTTGTACATTGTTATAAGAACTTTAAAATACTTTGTGTAGGTTCTAACATTGATTTTATTATCAATAAATTAAAACATAACAAAATATGAATAGCTAAACAGTTATTAACATTAACGGTTTTAAATCCTGGAGTACTGATATTTTCGCATTACACAATGTGATGTTTTCCTAGACTGAGATTCATATGTGATTCGTACTTTCAGTTAGTTATGTTTTGTGCCTTGTTTCGTTCATGCTTGGTAAAGATCTCTTTAATGTAAATTTATTAGATGTGCAGTGACTGTTATTTGTCTTGGATACATGGATTTTTTATTATATGTTATTGGCTTTGAATTATCTTTCGTAACAGTTATTACTCTCATATCGATATTTCAGGCTTTTATTAGTTTCTTAGGTGTTTAATGCTTTGTATCGATCTGATTAGCCAAGCCCTTTTCCAATGAATTTTAAAACTTGCTCCTGTGTTGTAATGTTACACCACTGTCCCAGGATAGGGGATTGTTTAGCGCCCGAAAACATGTTTCACTCTGCCCTATTCTGCATATGCATGTCCCAAAAAGTATTAAAACCAATGAAGAGTCCAAATTATTGTGTAAAATCTGGCTGATACTATCAATATCAGGGTTAAAACATAAGGTTTTTATGAAAGAATTAACTATTTTATATACAGTAAATTATGAGATATAACCTTATTGTTATAATTCATGTCAGCACTCAAGCACAGACTCCTGGCTAGTGTTTACTTCGGGGACCACACGTCAACCAGCAGTTGCATCGAAGCAGAGGTTGTAGATTTAATCGTATGTTGTTAAAACCTGATGGCCCTTTTATGTTATATCAGCTGTTCAAAATTTGTATTACAATTTTAAAATTTTGAAAATTCTGACTTCAAGCATCAAGCATCAACAAAGAGCTATTTATTGTCGAAATGCTTATTTGAGAAGATCAATTGGTACCGTTAATCATTTGTACTGCCATTGGGTTCATACCTCAGCTCGTGGACTGTTAGCCTATGATAAGACCCAGTCAAATAAAAGGTGTCAGGTAAGTAAACAGAATTGAAACTCGTTGATTTTTGGTGTATTAGAAATGACTTAAATATTTTCCTATTTTGATAGTTTAAATTTAGAAGTCGCCTACCATTTGACATTGCGATTTTCATTATAATTTTCAAGGTGCGATGCAAAAATAGGATGTATTAGAATGACAGTAACAACAATAGATGCTGGAAATAAAGGTACTTACTTTCAATTTGAGCGGAACGTACATATTTGAAACTATATGAAATCCAACTAAATTTAAAACAGGTGAATGATCTGGTATGAAATATTTTATATGCCAAAACTAGTAAATTACCCGTAACGCATCTACAAATGGAAGATCTTATATATACAGTTCCTTAAAGACACAACAAATTAAAAAAAAAGTTTTTTGTTTCAAACATAAATAGAAGCGTTATATTGGATTACTAACTCGCTATTAGCAGCCAGTTAGATTAATTTTGCTGTAGCCGAAAAACAATTACTTAATAACGATACTTTCTTACGATTTTATACATTCAGTACTATTTCCTATGATACTTTTGTAATTATGGTAAATGCATAAGTAAGTTATAAACAAATTAAACGTTTGAGTTAATACAGAGGTAATGCATTTGGCAGCTAATATGAAATAAGGAGATGTGGCATGAATACGAATGAGACAAATATCTACCAGAGTTCAAATGAAGTGAATGTAAGTAATTATAAGCAACCGTAGAGCCGTCAGCAATGAGTAAAATACATGCCATATAGTCGGCTATAAAAGGCGCAATAATGAGAAATGTGAAAAACAATTCAACGAGAAAAATTATTTACAACGAAACAATTTACGAAAAACAATATGACAGCCATGAACCAACGACAACCACTGAACTACAGGCTCTATGATACAATTTACTAGGAGTTCTAACCTTAAAGAATAGGAGTCGATTTCTTGTTAATGGCGCTATAGATCAAATAATCTCATTAATTGGCATACGTTATCTTTGGACAACACTTTATTAAAGATACAACTAAAAAAAATACGATACAAAGGAAAATTAAAGATCACTGGTATGAAGTTAAAGATAACTGGCATGGTTCATTGAAAAATCGAAAATAAAAACAAAAACTAGTTTGTTCTGTATTGTCAATTCGCTCGGAGGATTGTCAGTTTTAAAGAATTGAAAATTATTGTCATACACGTGGTGCGTTGGACAGGACAAGACCTTCAAATCATTGATGGTACTTCTTTAAAATATACGATGTCCTCCATTTGAAGCATCTTTCATTGAAAAGGAAATATGAGAATTTAAAAATCAGTTTGTTATACAAACACGTTCGGATCAATAAATAGCATTGATATGAATCTTAATCGAAAGCCAATAAATTTTGTAAGGATATGTTTTGACATAAGCTTGTTTTATTAGTAGAATATAGTTTCACATCACAGAATGTTACTACCACTTATCTGTTCCGAGAGAAAGCTTCAAACAGAAATGGTAAGTAAATATATAGTTGTGTACGACATGTAATTATACAATTTCTTTTTGGTTTGCACCGTAATGTTATTTCTTTTGTGAAGCTTGAAATTATGGAAAATTTGTTTTTCGTAATGAGAAACGTATTCAATTTCAGTGTTTAGATTAAGTAGTTGTGGTAAAGGCATACAATAAGAAGAAAAAAGCACATGTTGAGTTAAACAACTTGTGAAACATTGGAAATCATATGCATTATATAGGAAAAATAGAACAAATTGGATGTACGTCACTTAAGACTTCAAACCTACTACACATGCTAAGGAAACAAAAAAAGGTTATCATTATTCTGTATAAAATGTAGACGACTGTTAATCTATCTATCAAGCTGCATGACTGAGAGGAAGTATGACTATTCAACCCTACTAATACCATTGTCTTTAAACCACAAACTCCGTTAGTTATATCTGAAGAAAATTAAGCAGGGATCATGTGATAATTTTGACGCATTCGATAAATTTCAGCGCAATTTTGGTTCTTCCCCTGTATATGGCTTTATTTTGTTGCAATGTCAATTATCTTGTGCTACTGAACTTGTAATGCTATACTCTGCTTGAGTTCTGGTATCTTATTATAACGTTTTATTTTGTTGAACTTATAGGACCTTCAACCATGGAATTCATTATATACACACTCTGCGTTATTGGATTTCTGATAATAATGGGATTAAGCCATTTTGTTCGTTCTTACCGAAAACAATCTTCAATTAACATACCAAGGGAAAATGAAGGAGAAGGTATAGGAATGAGACAAGAAAGAGTTGAACCACCATACATTGAAATATACGATGAAATTGACGAGCACTTAATGGGAGAGGACAAGAGTGACACCGCAGTAACACCACAATTAAGGAATATCAATGCAACTGTATCAAAGGCTCGTACTGATAAAACAACAAGTAGTCACGATGATACCTCAAGTTATCTTGATCCATGTTTTGCAGTGGATGAAACTGAAAATAAAAGTTCATCTAAGGAATCCAGTTCAAGTAATTCCTCGAACTTTGACCTTGTCATTCCAGATCATGCAGGATATCTCAATCCCTACCAACCTCTTCGTGAAAGGCAACTAATATCAGATGGCTATGAAGTTACGGTTCATGTTCATAAAAATTCCGAGAGTTCGTCTGGATCCGAGTCGTCGGAAGAAAGGAGTTCTAGTTATAAATATTCTCACGTTTATCAACAATTGCAAAAAGATCAAAGTTTTAATAAACATGAATATGAAAAGGCAACAAAAACGAATGAAATGTATATTGATTTAAACGAGAAAACTGAGATACAGGACTGTGGAAATAAAGTATGTACTGACAGTGAGGACAAAGAGTCCAACAATTTGCTAAATAAAACAGAAACCGATGGAATAAATAATGGAAAAGGATTGTTAAATGAACAAACAATAGGGGATGCTTGTAGTGGAATTTCAGAGAAATCACTAAATGAAGACAACGATAACCTTGACTACACTGATAAATCACTAAACACAGATAAAAATCAAATGGTTTATGCCGGGGAGTGCGACGAACACGTTCAACATTTCGATATTGTGACTGATTATTTAGATATGCAAGATCCTGTAAATACAGGAACAATATAACCAACAGCCAGATCTACGTTTTATTTATCATCACATTTTCATGATAAGACAAATTAAAATGTATCGTTGTGTTATACACTGTAAACCGTATCATACCTTGATGTAACATCAACTTTTATAAAGGACATTTTATGTTGTTTATTAATGTAAAGATTTAAAGGTAATATAATCCTTTATGAAATTGAGTTGCAAAAATCCATTAAACTGACTGTTCAGTTGTGTCATTTGTATGTATGACATCTACGTTACTTTAGACTGATATATATCATTTAAGCATATCATGGCGTTTGAATAGATTTGAAGAGCAAACATACCTAATCACCTATTTAAAAACTCACAGAAAAGTAAAATCAAATCATTTATTTCAGCAAAATTTATTAAGGATGTAACGAAATCAGATAAGTACAAAAATGTGTTATCTGGCATTGCTTTTGTAGAAAATCAATATATGGTTTTAGAACTCATTAAAAAATGATATATACCTATAAGATTTTAGCCAATTGGCAAATAAAGATTTGATGCCAAAACAATTTTCTGATAGGCCTTTTAAACTCTACTTGTCTGGATAAAAAGTGTAGTTATCTATCTTATAGTCGAAAATACCCGTTCTCTACCTGTTGTATAAAACACTCCGTTGCAATTAATTTCAGGAAAATGCACTCTGAATGTACTTCTAATCTAAACACATACTTGTAAAATAAAGAACATATAATGAAAACCACAACTTTACCCTCCAGGAAATGGAACTGAAGAGTCAGACAGAGCGTTTACATGAAATACTATTAATAAAACTAAATATACATATCTGCAGACTTTAATATATTAGATATGCAAGTACGTACTGTTTAACCTCTCCGCAACATGAGGTTGAAATTGACAACATTCTAATTCTAATTTTAGGAAGATCTTTAATCAACAAAGGGACAATACACAATCCAACCAATAAGACACCAGCAAAATATAAAATGAGCAATTATAAAAAGAATGAAAGGAATAACAAAGAAATATTGGACAGCACAACAGACCACAGTACTTACCAACATCCCACTCCTCAGCAGAAAATGCATGTTAACAAAAAAAACAAACATTACCTGCATCCATGTTCTAGATAGGCTCATATGGTGTTAGCACTTATACTTATGGAACGTGAACCATATTCATGTGGACGCAAGCTATAATCGCCATCTTTCAAGATCATATGTCATTAAAGTAAAAAGTCATCACTTATACAATGTTATAGCACTGAAAAATTATACAATTAACAATCAATATGCTATAAACGAAAATGTTTCAAAAAGGTTTGTATATGTATACATGCATATACTCATATCATTTCGCTGCCATCAATCGCTCAATTTCAAAGTGGGCAATGATTCTTGAATGAAAAGGAATATGTTCTGTCTTTATTTTTATCAGATCAAAAGTACGTAACAAAAGTAGCAAAAAGCATTTTAAAACTGCCAATTATTAGCGGACGACTGCATTCTGTGATATTCTATTTCCAAAGTATCATAATATTATTTATATTCGGTCATTTCGAGAAGAGTCAGTTAATTTTAAAAATGAACAATAAGCATAGCTTTTCTTTTTCCAGTATTTGATGAAAATGTTACTTATTGAATATAACGTAGGTGATAGTACTAGCTTCAATCATTTGTAGAGCGGCGAATGTTAAAAGAGACGCTTAGCTAATGAGTTGAAATTACCAAAATACCTCAAGGAATTTTAATGTCTTAAAATGTCTATCGATTATTCGACTTCAGAAAATATGTGTCGTAAATGTCAATGACGTTAAAAATTACATATACTGACGTTATCCGACTTTCAACGAAAACCAAATTGCTATTTTTTTTGGATTAATCTCATAGTTAACCCCTTTGCAAACATGATTTGTGAAATTAATTGGTAAATATGGTCACTCTTGCACTTCATATATCATCAGGGCATTTCTAATTAGTCATAAATTTTAAGCACTGAGCATCTAAAATTGTTGAAAAAAAAAACACACACAAACTATCACTGTTTTTCACTCAAAATTATTTGCACGTGCAATAAAAGTGTATTGTAAAGGTACAACCGTAAAGCCGTCGTTCAATCATCCCGATTAATTATTTGAATGAATTTAGTAAACACCAGTATAATGGTTAAACATTTGCATTTTATCAAAATTTTATTCAGGATATTTGTCACACTTGAACCGACACTGTTCTGATTTCTTGTTATAAGGCCACATTAGGCAATTTTTGCGATGGTAATTTGAAGTAATTATCACGCGTATTTCTTGTTTACTTTAGAATATATGAAGCTTTGCGATTTATTTATTTTGTTAAGTATTATTGTTTAGCCATGTTTGTTGAATTTAACCATGAAAATAACAATCATTGTGAGGAGGGTTATGTTTTCATGTGTGTTCGATCTGTTGGATATTCGGCCAAAAAGACAATTACACTAGTTCGTTTAAAATGGCCATAAGTCCGATACAAAGAAAAGGTTCTCTGAAGTTGGAATCGACAAATAAATTACCTGCATTATTGCAATTGCTGAACTTTTAAGTACAGCAACAAAATATGGAAAAAAAGTCTGCTTAATGATACAGCAGTGAGACATGTGAGACATGATCAATAACATATTTATTTCATTTAATTCTGCAATGATACATAAACTGAGTGTACCATATTTAGGTATCACGGGCTTTTTTTTTAAAGCTACACAAGTAAACAAAATTTGAAACCAGTAGCAACAGTTATGAAGCCAGAATTATCAAATTCTATGTTGGTTGAAATCAATGGTGACCATCTCTATACATCAAAGTGTATAATTTTCAAGAAAATGTCCCATAGAAAGTGAAAACATTACATACCATGCTGGAAGATTAGCAAATCTAATTGATGGTTATGTTAGATCAGGCGACGCTGATATGATATACCAAATGAAGCATGAGAAATACTCAATATTGCAGTTTATCATGCTACATATTTTACCACATGCTTGGCATTAAGACCAACATGCATTGATAAATCTAAGTATGATTTAACGTTTTAAAGGGTAGTTGAAATCATTGACAAAGACATTATTCGTGACAAAAAGACTCTTGTTAAATTATCAATGTTGATAATGTACATGATGTACCAGTCTTTCTAACCAAATAACATAAGTAGGACCAACTGCATGCGCAACTACTCTAATCTTTGCAAGCGAAATTTCTATTGGCGACGCCTTTAAATACTCGAATAACATTACATCAAAATCGGAAAGTGCTCAATGCTGACAGACGGTGGTGTAACCAGCTGTTCGACTTTATATAGCAACCATGATGAGGCAGATACCATGATTTTCCATGTTATCACCCTGATGCTATTTGATGGAAAAGACGGTAAGAATATAATTGTTATCTAATCAGATTATACTAATGGTCTTGTCATGGCTGTCCATTTCTACCTCATGCTTGAATTACTAACAAAAGTATGGTTTCAGACTGGTTCAATTGACAGCTTGATGGATAATAGACAATTTGTCTCAGTTCGCACCACTGTTTCGTCATTTGATCCAGTTGTCACCGAAATTCTGCCGATCTTTCATGCCATGAGTGGATGTGGTTCCAAGCTTTTGTGTAATCGGAAAAAAAATCGGTATGCAACCATCTTAGGACGAAAGCGCCACCCTTCAGTAACCGTGTATCATTAGCTCACGGTGATGTTGATAATGCTTTAGATGATGCTAGGGTATTTTGTACTGCGTTGTTCGACTTAACATATAAGTTGAATAAACTGCACAACAATTCAAATTTGCTAAGACGACAATGGCTATATATAAAGATAAAAGTACAATAAAGCTTTCACAATGTGCACTAGTTTTAAACAACGCGTACTTCATTTGTTCGTGCAATATGGCAAAATATGGTGAAGGCAAATGTCGCCAACCCAAATAAAGGTAGGCCAAGTAAGTTTGGTTTGAAAATTTAGCTAAACTACAAGTAAAAGCCAGCTTATTTGGAAGAAAATGGCATCAGACTGTTTACAAGACCTTTTTTGTCCCAATTTAATATACCCTCATATTTCAGTGGCTTTCCAAATGTTCCCGACCTTCATCCCGGACGGCCTCTGTTACAGGACCAACATAATGTATTTATTGTTAATGTGTACTCGTACTAAGCATGCATAAAATATTTACCACTGAACGTTAAGCAACCATTGATCAATCGATCAATCTGTCTTGCACGGATGGGTGTTTTATCAAAATGTAGGTTATTGTAATACTTCCCGGGCCGTTTCATCTGACATAGGTGATGACACAGACGAAATATCATAAACATTTTTTATTGAATATTTTGTTTAACTAAATTGTGGTGTTTCTCGTTCATTTCGTATGTGAATTCTAACTTTTTTAATTTTTTCTACGTTTCATATGAACATGATCGATGAAAACTGTCATGCCTTACTTTTGAATTTGTTATAAAACCCGTTGAATGCACTACAGTACCGTCGAATGAAAGTAATCGTAATTGTCGCTTCAATAACTCATGCTTCTTTTATTATCTGAAATTGTCGAGTATTGAGAATAACAACAGAAATTAATTTCAAGAAAACTCAGTGACATGTCGAATCAAGGGAAACAAAGACGAAATTTATACTGCAAATATTGTTGGTTTTTTTCAACAGTATGTTTCGGATACTTCTATTGATATCTATCATTCTCAGATGTATGTAAATCTTGTCCAGAAATATAATTTATCGAGGTCGAAGATAAAGGTTATTTTGTTGCAGCTATTAATTAGGTTTTGAAATCTCCATCAAACGTGTTACAGTACTTGCAACCTTAGGCGTTACTATTTTAGCGATCAGTCAGCGGTCATCGGTCATGGATCAGTCACCGATCAGTCAAGTTCGCGTCAAACTCACGTCACCAATCCGTCAGACTTATAGTAAAAATATTTGACTGATCGGACGGATCTGACGGATCGGACCGATAGACCTTTCTGACGGATTGAACTCTACTACGTCACATGATGAACTAATACAAATTACGGAATCTTAGTTTCGTTTCATTTAATTAAAATGCACTTATAATATAATATTATTTAATAAACAATGTTTAAATGTCACCAATATGTGCTAATATTAAAATTTTAAGTGTTATTCGGTCATTACAAGTGTTATTTGGATAATAACGGTGTTATTTGGTCATTCGAGGTACCGATTTTTATCGCGATAAAGTTCGCGTCAAACAGTAACACCTAAGGTTGCAAGTACTGTACATTCGAAAAGTTAAAAAATACGTCATTCTGACGTCATGTACAAGTTGGAAAGGCATTTAAGTCGGAACTTAAACATTGGTAAAAAACTACTAGTATACTGTGAACAGGGAAATTGTTGCAGC